AAATTTGATTAATTAGTTGTTGAGATATTTTAATTTAAAAATTAAAAAAATTGTACTAAAAATGATTTGTCCTTTTTCTATTAACTCCACCTCATATAATAGTGTTCTCATAAGAACTCTAAGAACACTAATTTTAAACACTAATCAGAACATAACCAAGATACCAAATTTCAATATTATCTATCTCAATACCATCTCAGTAATATTCTTAACTTCAGGCATTATCTGTATTTAATTTTTTGGGCCAGACCATGACTAGAGGATCTATGAGAATCTGGTTAGAACAAGAAAAAACAAGATTCATTTTATCATTTTTCTTTTCTCTTTCTATACTAATTATTCATTTTAAATATGATGATCTCATTATCATTATTAGTAAGTTTTGATAATAACTAGATGTTTTACGCTTATTTATTTTAGCTCTAATTCTATTCTTATGGCAAAATCTAATCCGAAATTATATTATCTTTTCAAATTGTCATTTTCGATAGATTAAATACTATTCGAATGATTACGTAGCATCCACATTTACCAGACTTTTGATAAAAATCAATTTTGTAACAACCATTTTATAATAAGCTAAAGGCGAGTACATTATACATTAACGTAAGCTCATAATGCTTATGCTACCAAATCTAACTTGAATATGCTTTTGCATAGATAACTTGTTAATACAGTCATGTATACGTGATTTGAGGAAATTCACATGAGCTAAATAAATACGTAGAACAGAATTATGTACATACATATTAGTTATATATAATATATAAGCACTTCTAAAAAAAACAAAATTTTAGGCTTTGAATTGTACCCAAATACAAACAAAAAGTTGACACCTTTTATTATTTTTGTAATTTTTTTATATAAGCCACACCTTGTACTTAATAGCCACACAAAATATTTTTATTCATCAACATGGCTTACTTAGTCTTTTTTAGGTTTATATAAGAGAATTTGACTTTCATTAAGTGTTTGGCTTTTGCCAGGAGTTTTGCTTTTCATTAGTGTTTTCAATTTAGGTTTTGTCTTTCATTATTTGTGCAAAATAGCTTCACCTAACAACTGCAATATGATTGTTTTAGTGCTGAATCAAGTCTTGTTATATAACATGAAATGAGTTGAAATGCTTTTACCAAAAAGGGGATATCTACTTGATACATATATATGACCTGTAAAATACTCAATTTTTTTTAAATTTTCTGATTTTTTTTATTTTTTTTTTTTTACAAAAAAATGTCAAATATAGAAAGAGAAGTTGTCTATATTGTAGTAGCATATAATATCTATATTTTAGAAAGAATTCTTGAATGGAATATAATAATGGTATTAAGAAGCCTGGGTTTCAGAAGAGTCAATGCTTTAACAAAGCCAGATGTGGAATTTGTACACACAGGATGAGTTTTCTCATTGATTATTTGTCGAGTCATAGTATATCTGAAGTTACGCTACCTCATTTGTGTAATGAAATCTGATAGAGAATTGAAAGCTCATCATGATAACTATTTTGATAGTTAATGTTTTTCTCTATTAGTTATAGATGTTTTTGAGGTTATAATTGAACCTCTCTGCATTAGATAGGCACTTTCTATATATATTAGAAAGTGTTTTGCTAGGAAGTCAGTAAATAGGATATACTCTAATATTGAAGCACTATGCATCTTTGTTAGTTGTTAATGATAACACAAATATTCACTATTTATTATTTATTCTATAGTGAATCTGGTGACCAAGATAGAGATATTTTATGCTGAATCACCAGGATCACTATTGTAATTCAATGCAAGAACTACAGCCATCAACATTCAATATGTAATTTAATTAGTGTTTTCATACTAGTAATCCAAATCAAAAATTGATTAATTGGTTAGTTGATCAAGTTGGCAATTAATCGATTGATAATTTACTAATCAATTGATAATAATTAATTAATTAATTGATTAATCAATTAGTTATTTCTAATATAAAAATATTAATTATTATAATTAGAGATTTTGTTAGAATTCTAAAAGCTATTTAGATATATCAACTAATCGATTAGTTAATGATAATTGATTTTTATTCAATTTTTTAAAAATTTTTTGGTCAACTAAGTAATTGTATTTTTTGGTTCAATTTGGATTACTATTTCATACTACATACAAACAGTAAACCTCCTTAAATACATGTTCTGCATACTTAGTGTTAATTCTTTCTCAAAATACATAATATAGTTTACTTGTAAGAGCATCATATATTTTGCTCTATAGAGTGCATTCTTACTTTCTTTTCATTGTCCCAAGCAGGTATACTTATGAGGTTTTTACTGTATTATAAATATTATATTAATAAAAATTTTTTACCAAATTTAAATTTTTTTAGGTAGAGGTCATCTTTGCACATGAGACTATTATGCGAAGATATGCTTGTGAAACTAGACATGCTACTATTAGCATTGTAGTAGGTTCTTCTATAATTGCATTTGCTTCTACTGCAATGGAGAAAATTAACAGCACTGAAAATTTCATTCTTCTGGCAGATAGAGACAATTTTTCTGATATTATAAATTACTTTTTCTCATGAATTTTTTCTAATACCAAGTTTTTTGTACATACACCTCTTTTTATACATTTTCTTAATTCCAAATCCACCAAAGTGTGGTACATAAATTACTTGAGCATTGACCTCCATGTGGTGTGATTTGGATAACCAACTAATAAATACTTTTATGTTTAGATATAATTTTTAGTAAATGTGTACTTTTCCTGACTAATTTTTTTTTTTTTGATTAGTATTCTTTTCTTTTTCTTTTTATGTAATAAGAATTCAATCGATATACACAGAATAATAGCGATGCTTCTGAAATAAAGTATAACTCAATTGAGTTATTAAAGAGATTTTTTATAAAGACAATTTTTCTTGTTCTTGTGATCATAACAAAATTTGTATTATCGATCTTAAAGTAAGAATAAGAAGAGAAGTATCGGTTAATAATCTAAGTCTCTTTTTAGAACAAATACAATTAATCAAACTTTGATCTAACACCATTGTTACCTTAAATCAATACTATGATTTTTTAACCACGTGATCCATGTGACAATCATTAAGAATCTTAATTAATAATTAGAATTGAATATTGAACCCTGTTGAACCAAGACTTGAAAAAGATTATTATCTTTAGCTCTAACTAAAGTACATAATTACTCAGTAAAAGTACAATTTAAATCAATATATTTATCTTAAACTCCAGTATCACCATAGTAAGACCTGAAAATACCTTGAACCTTGGATGGTAGTTGTTAGACAAAACCTTGAGGTTTCGTGCTGATAAAATGTGAAACCTAGTTTCATCTTTTGTTAATTAAAATTTTAAATAACAAAATGATAAAACTGACAAAAGGTAATGAAACTGACAAAACTATAAAGAGTAGCAAAACTGACAAAATACATAGAGTAGCAAAACTATTTTGGCATTCCTTAAATTTCCTTTAAATTTCTTCTACTTTTTTTACAAGATTCCTATAGATAGTAACTTCTCTAATAAATACACATTTATACGTGCTTACTCTATATATTTCCTACACTTTTCCTATAGTTTTGTAAAAAAAAATAATAATATGTAATAATAAAAGACAAACATACAAATATATGTTAAAAATCATTGAAAATTATATATATATATTTATAAAAAAATAAAATTACAAAAAATTTTATTGTTTAAAGAGAGTTATTTAATATTATATTATACATATCTATCCTACACATTTTCTACACTTTTCCTATAGTTTTGTAAACATACAAATATATGTTGAAAATCATTGAAGATTATGTATATATATATAAAAAAATAAAAATTATATGTAAAAATTACAAAAAATTTTATTGTTTAAAGGGAGTTATTCAATATTATATTATATAAGTTTTGGTGAGAAATTGCTTGGTACTTACTTTGTGATCTTACAAATTTATTTTGTATTAGTATATTTAATTCATTATTTGTACTATGGCTTTTTGACAAGGCTATTTCAACTGATATATAACAATCTATATAGCATTGTCTAGAAAAAATGAACTGGTTTATTTTTGCTAGCATACATGTAATTTAATTTTAGATACTAATCTTTGTGAATGTTAATTTACTGAAAAAATATTTTTTTTTTTTTAGTGGGAGCACTAAAGTATCGTCTTTTTGAGCGTAAGTTTAAGGTTTTGTCTTTTGTCAAATGAATTTGAAGTTTTGACTTTTATCAGAGGTTTTGTCTTTTGTCATCATGCAAAAAAGTTTTTGTTTAACAACTATATCTCAAACCAAGTCCTTCCATGGCTATATAAAAATAAATGATTTATAAATATTCATTACATATGTTGTAAAGAGATAAATTGTAACTCAAAATATTTTTTTGGCATAGTAGATCGAGATAGTCTGCCTGATCTAACATATATAACAATATATTAGATATATTAGATCTGTCAGATCAGATTTGTTAGATATGTTAGATCTGTTATATATGTTATATATTTATGTTAGATATAATAAATAGAATTAGCAATAGTAGCCAAAGAATATATATAAAGCCTAAGAGTTTGTCTTGAATAAAGTCAGTTAACATTTTGTGTATACCAGATATAGTTTATAAAAGGTTGTTTTTCTAATTCTCTGATAAATAATCTTATAGTCCCATGATCCCGAATTAGAGCTTCATAACATAGTCTAAAAACCTATTTGGCTCTTTTGTAGCAATATTAGGGTTTGATAGAGTTTAGTGTTGATTTAGATTAGTTTAGTGACCAATATTTTGAGTTTCTGGATTAGTTTTTACATTCACTATATATGAGTGTGTGAGAGTGAAAACCAGAAACCTATTATAATAAACCATTATATGTAACTACTCTTATGCACTCAAGTAATAAAATCAAAATTAGATTTTTTTTTGTATATATTTTAGAAACTATTATGTATGTAGTTTTGTTATGAAATATATATGTATTGATTACTGTATCGTGCACCATAATCATCATTATTATTTTTTTAATTAATGTTTTGCTTAGTAGCGCAACATTTATTATATTTTTGATACGATTAGATGATTTGTACTATATACTAATTTGCTCGTCTATACCATGCTGATCTGCTATAATTTTCTTATATAGTTTTTGTAGTCAATTATTATTTATTGACTTGACTAAGTCAGCTTAGCCAACTAAGTTAGAGTTGATAAATATTTTTTACTTTTGGAATTTCATCAAATTTTTGTTATAACCTTATTTATGTTTGTTGATTTTCTTTTCAAATTTTCTTGGCTCTTACTCTTAGTACTATATACTAAGAGAGATAATATATTGAATCTGATTGGTACTTTAATATAATCTAATATAAAATTGACTAAGTCAATTTTTTAGAAAATTGGCTGACTAAGCCAGCTAAGTTAATAAAAATTGACTATACAAAATTGACTACAAATACTAGTTAAATTATAATAAAGTAATGTAAAATAAAATAATTTATAAGATGTGGCGACTTAGTGAAGTGGTGGAGTTGTCACACCCCCAAACAGCAGGTCTAGAGTTCGAATCCCACGGACAATGATTTTGAAAAAAACTAGATCTGTATCGGTTAACGTTAAGATTATCGGTTGGATCCAGATATCTGTAATCTTGGTCACACCATCT